AGCTCTTAGATAGTTTAACTTTGATAATTGGCTAATTTCGCCCCTTATTCGCCAGTCAAGAACACATCCCACCACTCGTACTCTTTGTCGCCGATGTTGCTTGTTTATAGTGCCAGACGCGGGTGGCTCGCTTGGGCGTACCGGAAGTCACCCGCACCGCCTTTATAAATACCCCCCCCCCCAAAGGAAACCGGAAATGGTTAATAACGCTCGAATCCGATGAGATTTCCAACCAATTAACCAGGGTCGATGGGGGGGGGGGGCTCCCTTATGAGAAATTGCACCCAAATTTCAAAAGAGTTAAAATCAAATGTCCTCGTCCATGTCATCATATTCCTATCGCCCAAATGACACTGTTGTGCCCTCTTTTCCTGTTGCCCTTTACAACCATTTTTATGGTCCCAATTCCGTATTTAGCCTCGCATTATGTCTTCTGAAACATTTTTCTATTTTATTTTAGGATCAAACCCCACTTTATTTCCATTACAGGTTTCGGGCTAGATTTCACAACTGGATTAATATTTCCATGCATAATATTCAGAATCTGTCTGTCTTTGTTTTATTTATTTCGCTAATTGAATTAAGGAAATTGAAAACCTCCAGGAGGCGACGCCAATAACAATAACCTTTACCACGCAAGCTTAAACTGTTTACAAGGGAGACACAACTGGTGTCTCAATTTCGATCATCTTCTATATACACGGAGAGGCATATATCTGTAAAATAGTACAATTTGTTGACCAGATTAAAGATTGGGACAACAAGAATGGTATTGAGCCTTTAAGTGTAGATATTGATACCTGTGCGAAGGATAAAAGCCTAATTTTGTTATAATGTCTACATCTGATAATATACGAATGAGAATCAAAGAAAAATATTTCGTCGATAAATATAAACCGAAATTAAATGATTTGATTTGAACCCAGTTGATAATACATGTATATATTATTACTGGGGCGGATCCTGAGGGGGGGGGGGGTCGAGCCCCCCCCCCCGGCTCAGCTACATATTTTTTTTTTTTTTTTGTAAATCAACAATTTTTATGAGAAAAGTTTCTCGGCTTTATCGCCAGATGTGGGACAGGATGGGCACTCAAAGGACGAGATAATGATATAGACATTATGTCATATCAGAATTAATGCTTTGCATCCATGAAATTGAATCACAATGTCATTGTATTAATTCATAATAAAAATTGACGCCAAACGAGGTGTTGAATTTCTCTGTTTAAAAAGCTCAATGTGTATGTATATATGCCAAAATGACGATAGAGACCATGCGGGAGCGGGGGGGGGGGGATACATTGTCTCAGGAACCTGGCAAACCCCCTCCTGCAAAAATTCCTGGATCCGCCCCTGTATTATTCATCATTATAATGACGTAATTACGTCACACTATTGCTTCTATACCTACATATTGTTACCTACATTACTTTGAAAATTGTATGAAACATGTCAGCAATAAAATAATTATCTAGAATGGACGCATCTACTTTATTTTACGTATATTATCTACTTCTAATGGAATCTTCTAACTACTTCTACATATATATTTTATTTATGCATTTATCTACCGTAATGTTTTGTCTAAAACCATATCCAAGGCTAATTTTCTGGGAATCTAGTAGTATGTTTCTTATGCAGTACTACCGACAATCTCTGGATAGACCAAAATATCGGTCTATATATATTACCTTGTGGCTCATGGGGCACTACAAAATCCAGAATATCAACAATTACAGCAAATCGTTTTCGGTTTTCATGTCCAAGTAGCATGCGAACACTACCATTCACCTGTCATCTGATTGCAGATTCGTAATCTACACACAAAGTTGTCTAACGCTACTAAATGTGGGCTGTATATCTTTACTAGAATTGTAAAAACAATATATCTGAAACTCGAGTAAATCATTGATACATATTTTGTTTCGAAAACTTATCGGTAACTCATGAAACTCAAAGTCCAGTATCTCAATCAATTTTTAAGCTACAGATCACAAATTTTTGTACAGTTTCTGATTAAAGTAGCTAAGTCTCTAACTCAATATCATCCAAAATCTTTGACATTGAAAACACGATTTCTCGGTCGGTTTAAATCAACATTGATGTTGTGATCTTACCGGGAAAAGATGGCCTTCTGATATCCAATATTTAAGACAAACTAAACATTTTACAATTTGTACGCGAATCGTGTACCATAATGCGTTTCAGCGCTATTTTTAATAAGGGGCTCGAAAAACGAGGCTAGGCATATTCCACAAGTCATGTCAAACGGTGACGCTATATTCTTATCTGGAGATCAAGCCCAATCAATAATATTGGCGTAGACTGGAATAACCAGACGCTAGAGATTGAAATTCGCTGAACCTAACTGATTAAAAATTGCAGTAAAAACAGAAACGTTTGAATGTAAATCAATTTATATACATTCATATTACATTATTGTATGCGTTGCGACCCATTTGTGTCAATTTCTAGGTCCCAAATATTGGCGACTTAGCTCCTTTAAATCTTTCTGATTTGTTTTAAAGAACTCAGCCCAAATACTAGATGCTATTATTGACCACATTGTCATATATTTATATATCATATTAATAGAATGGACCGTTAATAGTTTTACTTTGATCGGGCGTGCCTGAATATTTGCTAAAAAACGGTCAGAGTTGTAATTGTAATATTATACTTATCAGATATCGTTTATGTAACGACGATGTATGGTGGTCTATGGTCTATACTGGTTAAGTAAAATCTCACTCTTTTCATAACCCAAACCTTTGTACTGTAAATCATTGTGTTCTTGGTTTATGAAAAAACCTAGAATTTACATGGCCTGTAATACTATTTGACAATTTATGCGAAACTGCATTAGACGAATATAAGTGCACCTGAAGATATGAGCTATAATTTGATAAATACATGTGTTTTATTTGTTTTCTCCATTGTCAGTATATTAGCTATGGTACAAGTTTGTTTAAAACGCAAATTAAATTGTTATGAATTATTGTGAGAATAACAGGAAAAGGGGTCTAAGGCCAAGGATAATTTCTATGAGTGACCACATGATCGATTACATCATAATTAGCCAATGGAATAATTTTAAATAGTTTTGAATCTGAGAGTATATAGTTAATAGAATGTGCGCTCTAGGGTAGACACCAGGCAGATTCTAAGAGAGGAAAAACCGTTGAGAGATAGAGAGAATGATTTTATTTTAATCTATGCTTGTATCCTATGTATCGGAGCTTAAAGGAGCTAAATCGCTAATATTTTGGACCTAGAAATTGGCACAAATGGGTCGCAACACATATAATAATGTAATATGAATTTTTATAAACGGTTTTACATTCAATCGTTTCCGTTTTACTGTGATTTGTCATCAGTTATGTTCGGCGAAATACGCCAGAAGTCTCAACCGAAAGACAGTTTCTAGCGTCTGGTTATTCCAGTCAACACCGATAGTATATATCGCGCATGCTCTCCAAATAAGAATATGGCATCATCGTTTGACATGACTTGTGGAATATGTCTTGCCGCTTTCTTTGAGCACCTTGTTACAAATGGCGCTAAAACGCATTATGGTACACAATTCGTGTACCAATGGTAAAATGTTTATTTTGTCTTAAATATTGGATATCAGAAGCCCATCTTTTCCAGGTAAGACCACAACACCAATGCTGATTTAAATTGCAAAAAAATTCGTGTTTACAATGTCGAAGATTTTGGATGATATTGAGTTACGGACTTAGCTACTTTAATATAAAACTGTAATCAAGAAACTCTTGTATTTGTTGTTCCTGTTAATCATAATATTTACGATGCAGTTATATTCAATCACAATGTCAAGCTGTTATTAATGTGAAATGTCAGAATGACATTTAAAGATACACCACGTGAGTCATAACAAGTGCATTACAAATACTACCAAAGACAATACTAGACCATCAAGGGTTGTTCCAAAATATGTAGTAAGAAAAGATACATGTGTCATACTCCGGATGTGGCGACCGGTTTTCGTACATGTCCGCTTTCCACATCTGACAGACGATCCATGGTACCACAGGCCGATATCAGCAACCATAGACCAAAATTAAATGTACCGTTGAATTCCCGATGATTTAGTCCAGGGAATATGACAAAGTAGAACTATATTGGCTTAATACAGTTTTGTGCTTTTACCGTTTTTGTGTCGTTTTATCGCCTAAATATTTAGTGCTGATACCAAAATGCATCCAATTTTGAGACCTCCCTAAAATAAAAACAATTCAGGATCTTAACCCCACCAAACCTCTAACCTGGTCCCACTGGCGCCCCCACCCACACTCCGACCTCTAAACGGTAGTTTATCCATATTCCATTTGACCCCACCCTGATAAAAGTTCTAGCAACATACCAGCATTAACGATCCTTTTAACTGCTGAAGAATAAACATTATTGATTATGGAAGCCTATATTTACATTTCGTAATTTCTACTTTTCGCCCCTTCAGAATGCGAAAGTCGAAAAGTAGAAGTTACAACAAATGTGAGACGACAGCACGATACACAAGCCAAAATCGACTCGAAAATAGGAAAATAAGAAATAAACACATCGCGATAATATCGCCTCTCGTTTTGTCGGGACTCCTATTTTTCTTTCGACTTGCATTTTGTCTTGTGTAGCGTGATTGATTATGGAAGCCTATATTTACATTTCGTAATTTCTACTTTTCGCCCCTTCAGAATGCGAAAGTCGAAAAGTAGAAGTTACAACAAATGTGAGACGACAGCACGATACACAAGCCAAAATCGACTCGAAAATAGGAAAATAAGAAATAAACACATCGCGATAATATCGCCTCTCGTTTTGTCGGGACTCCTATTTTTCTTTCGACTTGCATTTTGTCTTGTGTAGCGTGATGGTAGTCATAGGCTTCCATAAGTCATCGTTTTACTTAAAAGCGGTTATATTAGCATTAACGATCATTTTAACTGCTAAAGAATAAAGATTACTGATGGCATGGCATCGTTATACTGTTAAGCAGTCACAGGAATTGATCACACCATCAGTGATAGCAATTAGCTCTTAAGAAGATGGAAAAACTTGAAAAATATTTATCATGGATATTTTTGTTTTTCTTAAATTGGTCCGGAGTGGTTGGTAATTGTGGGGGCGGTGGTGAGCTGGTTTATTATAAAATTATATATTTTAAGGATCAAGGAATACCAAGTTACACAGTATCCCAGACAGCTGTTAACGTTACCGTTTGTGGTGAAGCCTGTGCAGGGAAAATTGGATGTAAATCTTTTGGCTATCATCCAAAAGATAATCGTTGTTATTTATACGAGGATCGGATAAAAGTTGGTTACACGTCGTATTTCTCTGATCCTGGAATCGTATATTATTGGAAAGTTGAGGGTAAGATTCAAACTTTTCATGCTACATTAAAATGCCGTAGTTTAGGACAATGATTACCAACTGGACATTCTATTTTGTCACGAAATGACTTGACATTCTAGATAGTCTCTAAATGACGAAATTTGTGTTGCCAGGAATTTTAATTGGTCCCAAAATGACCTAGTTTGTGTTAACTGGACAATCTATGCCAATGTCATGGATACTGTTATTCCATACACTTTGTCACATCATTTTAAATACGATAGAGTGTTTATTACTAGCATAATGTCGGATTTAAAAGCTTCCGTATCGCAATGCTATTGCGGGCTGTTTTAAATATCGAAAATTAAATCTGACCTATAGGACCTGGAAAATGGAGAAAACAATTTTGGGTCGAAAATATTGACTCCATAAGATATTGTCGGTCGGATAATTTACTATTGCAGCAATATTATGGCCCGATTTGATATTGGTTTCTAACTTATAAACATGTTTTGTTAGATAGGTCAAAAAGGAAAGGCTAAGGAAATTGATAATACATTCGTTAATTTGTTTATCAAGAAACCATTTCCACTCTCTTCCAAACTGATTCCCACTGAATCAATGACAACATTGTACCCCCTTCCCTTGTCGCAAACAGATCCAGTGACACTAAAATCCAATCGGGCTCAATTTACGTATATGCTCCATCGAACTCCTTTTTTTGTTGGCTCGTGAGCCTCACTGGTGGCCGACTCATTCCGGTTTCGATATTTAAAAAGTTCGCAGTTTGCAACCGTTTATAATGACAATTTCGCATTTAGCCCTGTATTGAAATTGTCAGGGTGCGGACTAGGTAGATCTGGGCTCTTAGACCAACTGGTTTCGTTGGGCTCCCATCACGTTGACGAATATGTAACATTTCTAGAAAACGAAACTAGTTTGATTCACTATTCATGCACCTCGTATTGAGGCTATTATATTTTTCAGTGGATATTAAGATTAATTTTAGTTATTCTGAAAAAGATTATATCAAATTATGTTTCACCAATCGGGGGCCATTTGAACCCCATTGCTACATGGGCGACGGGAACATTTTTAGCTGTTAAAATACTCCAGGCCAATACGCTAACCGTTACAACGAACCCCAATGACATTTATTCTGTCACCCTTTACCAGCTTGATCAGACTTAACCTTTTACTCGGGGTTGTCTCTTTAATTGCTCCCTCATTAGCGAACAGAGAGAGAGAGAAAGAAATGGGGTTTAACGTCCACTCGACACAAACTAGGTCATTTTGGGACTAACATAATATGGTTTAATTTTATTTCAATAATTCGCTTGCGCATACGGGTCTTTAGCTGTGGGAGGAAACCGGAGGACCTGGACATAACCCACGAGGTTGGACAGGCGACCCTACTCCTTGTCACGTACAACCGGGGATACGAAACCAGTTGTAAGGAATAGCAGCCCCTTTTCATACTTGTTTACTTAACTCGTACGTCTTGATTGTTGCTAACTACGTTCATGTTCAGATCTCTCAGTGAAGTGTCATCGGATGGTATGTCATGGCACAGGTATACGTCAAATTGATTCTAGCAGAACCAAAAACTTTCCGGCACTACCCCAACCCTTTGAGTGCCCTAAGTTGGGTCTGCCTGCCAACCTTCCTTCGGAGGCCCCAGTACGCCCCTGTTGGAATCTGTTCCGGAAGTGTAGTATGAAAGGAAGTGTAACGGTTTAAAAGCTAAAAGCATAGATTCCTTTGCTTTCAGTCTGGCAGTCCACATGAAATGGTTATAAAAATACCATTATTAAAGCTATAGGTTTAGGTTTAAGCGTCTGTACAATTCGATCTTTTCCGGAAGTACTTATTTGTAGTATGAAAGGAAGTGTAACGGTTTAAACTCCGTCAAATAACTAAAAGCACTCATGCGAATTGTTAATTTATACATCATTATTTACCTTTCCTCTCGTTATATCGAAGTTTTGTTTACATTTATCTGCTTATAGTTCTTTGTGTAGGATCTAAATATGTCTATTATAGGTCTATCTTTTGTCCTCAAATGTTATATAAATCATTAAACATACATTATGCAAGAGCTAAATCTGCCTATTGCATTTCTTCAGACCATAACCAACTCTCGATGGCATCGCTAGCCTGCGATGTTTATTGGATTAGGTTCCGATTTGCTGTTCGACTTCCATTCATAATTAAATAAAAAAAGTGGATAATCGAGACTATGTTTTTTATCCTACCGACTTTAGTAATGATGATCGAGGCAAGCCCCAATATTCAATCGCTAAAATCTTGGTTCAGAGTGGATCAATTTGACTGAAATTTTCAGCAAATTCCCTTTACTAATCTAGTTTTTAACTATTATAGCGAGACCTCCCAGCTCTTTATCTTATCTCCCATAATCTATCTTTATTTAGACATTTATTGACATGACAATTGCAAGCCGATAATCAACTCTATAGAATATCAGATGGTTGTGATTTTAACGGATTGAAAGACGATCGTCATTTAATAATTTAATTTGAAAATGGATAATTGAGACTTTGTTTATTATCGCAACAACGGTACAGAAATGAAATCGAGTAAGGGGGGGTTGGCGTGGGGGTGAAGAGAAATGGAGTTTGAGGTCCACTCAATACAAAAACTAGGTCATTTTAGGACTAACATATGGTTCAATTTCATATCAATAATTCGCTTGTGCGTAGGGAGGAAACCGTAGGACCCGGAGAAAACCCGCTAGGTTCGACAGGTGACAGTACTCCATGTCACGTACCACCGGGGAGTCGAAACCACGTCTGTAGACTCAATGACAGACCTTATGATACACCGCGCACGCGCTAACCATTCGTCCACCCCACCCCCACCCCTTGCACCCCCGACAACCCGTTAACCAGATATACATATATTTATTTTCATTATATAGAGGAGTCTCAAATATATATAGGGACAAATCTTTTGGTCATGAAATTCGGTAATACGCCTTTAAGGTGGATGTTGACGGAAATTTAAAGGTACATTATTGGTAAAATTAACTAAATCCCCTATAATTTATTAAATAGATGTATCCATCTTGTATCCAGATTAATAAAGTCATGGCAAGTCACCGGAGTGCCGGTATTCCCTTAGCTTTAATTATATGGAATGCTATAGTTACCAAAATATTACTATTCTTATACAAAACTATGATATTTTGTTGCGACTATGTTCCAAAGCTATGGTGGCTGATAGTGGCCATGTTAAATCTCGCCCTTTTCATAACGCGACAACACGACATCACGACAGTATTGGCGCAATTATACGACACTTAACTCTGTCGTATCATCGTGTTATTTTTATCCTAACGTCGAGATGTCGACTTATTGGCATAGTCTCTTTCTACAAGTCACAAAAATACAGCTGTACTCATTACACTCATTACATCAGATTAGATACAATAAGACTCGTCAAAAGAGATAATAGGAAAGTGTTGATTAATTATTCGTTTTCTTAAAATAATGAAACATTTTGCGCCCAAAATTGAATTATTGGTATTATATTCAAAAAATCTAGTATTATAATAGCAGGACAAAAGTGAGTCAGCTATGTTAATTCCTTGAATAAGAAGTGGTGTCGGTAGGTATCGAACAAGCATGCATTGCCTCGTGTACGACACCCACCAATACTTATAGATTACTGAAGCGATAGTTTAGAAGCGATTTCAGAAGATTTCCAATTTATTTTATTAGAGTGGGAAGGGGATTATATAAAACCTCAAATCAGATCACAGAAAATCACTGCATTGGTGTAGCACGCCATCCCAATAAGTGCAGGGGAGGTTTTTTATGAGGTGAAGAAAGCGATTTGCAGCTGTTATTGACCTTATCGCGTATTCATCCGTTTGGCATCACTAATGAGATCGTGGCCTAGATGATTAAAAATAGGCCCAGTATTGCCTTCAGCTATGAACACACTCCGAAAGTCCCCTACACCCCCCCCCCCTCTTATTTTGTTTAACAAATAATTTCGGAATCAATAAAATGGCAGGTCCCTATCAATGATGTTTGATACGACTGGAAATTAATGTGTCTAAAATTGATTAAACAACATAGGGTAGTAAATATTACATTTTGAATCCGTATCAATGATACATTTACTCAAAATGTTCCTTCTAATGGATCACCATTTAACTTGAAAACAAGGGAAGCAGCCGATCGAAGAAAAAAAGATTTTAAAAAACAAGTTTCAATATGACAGTCGTGGTTCGGTCATGCATTTACATCCGTGGGTGTCACCCTTTCTTTGAAAGTAATGATTGTACTAAATTTGAACAAAGTCCATCTAGATTCGCGGCCTGTAGGTAAAGTGTTGACAGATAAAACGTAAAAAAAACCCAGACCTATAAAAATATATTTTCTAAAACTATTTTAATTTTGAAATTATATTATTTTGACATGTGCCAAGTGTTTTAGCGAATAGTTATAGAAAGGGTCTTGTCGATTAAGACTATAGCGCATGTGCAATATGCAGTTTTAAACTTCCGAGACGACAAGTCGACAAGTCGATGATACGACAGTTTCGCTTTTTGTCGTGCCGTCGTATCATCGACTTGTTGTGGCGATAAGTCGATGATACGACGGCACGACAAAATTGGGTCGATGACAAGACAAAATCACGCGATCTTACGACAGTTTGTTCTGTCGTAAGATCGCGTGATTTTGTCGTAAGATCGTGTGATTTTGTCGTGTCGTCGTATCATCGACTTACAGTGGCGATAAGTCGATGATACGACAAAATCACACGATCTTACGATAAAATCGGGCGATCTTACGACAGAACAAACTGTCGTAAGATCGTCTGATTTTGTCGTATCATCGACCTTATTTTGTCGTGCTGTCATATCATCGACTTATCGCCACGACAAGTCGATAATACGACGATACGACAAAACACTAAACTGTCGTGTCATCGACTTGTCGACTTGTCGTCTCGGAAGTTTAAAACTGCACATGCGCTATAGTCTTTATCTACAAGACCCTTCTATAAAT